TTAGAAAACTACTCACATGCGAGCGTCGCGATATCGCTCGCGCCGTGCTCGTACGCGCGGCCGAAGGTCGAGTTGTTGTGCTGTCCAGCTCGCGTATTCGTCGTTCGTAGTCTTTAAACAGCTTGGTCTCCGGACGGGCGAGGCCCTCGGACAGACGTACATCTACATTATTACAAAACTTGTCGAAGAGCGCAACGTGCGCGGCTTCCTTGGTTCGGCCTCTCTGCAAGCTCTCCATGGCGCCTGGTAGGTAGGCAGCATCTCGCCTGCAGTGCACGCGTGTCCTGCGGGGTGGCCTACCCTGAGTCTCGCAGGCGCCGAGCTCACGTAATTTGGCGAACGAATCTAAAATGATATTTCCAGATGACCCGTTACGAAGACGATAAACTTCACCTCTTTCGGAAATTTATAAAATACCGTACAGTACAGTAAATGTCCGGGTGTATGAAAGATTAGGACCGAGCGGGGTTTCCCTCATTCCCCTCGGAATAAATATCCCACACTTTTATTTTTCAGCGTGAGGTACGGGTGGCGGTGAGGCGACCTGCCGCCACCGCTGACGCGGCCCGCGCCCGGCCGGCGTGCGCAGTCAGTCACTCTGCCATTTTCCATTCAGTCATCAGCAACAGCGGCCGCGGCCGGCCCGGGCGGCCGCCGTCAAATTGTAAAGGCAGGCAAGCGCCGCGGCGGGTGGGGCGGAGCGGGGCGGGGCGAGTGCCTAACGCCGCGGGTGTTCACGCCGTGCTGTTGCCGCGGGCGCGGCTGACGCGGCTGACGCGGCCGTCGCGGGCCCCTGACAGGGCCTTTCCCGGACATCAGGGCCGACCTTTTCGGTCGTATTGCATGTAGACCGCGGCGGCCGCCGCCGCGTCCTGTGGGATGCGACCTCCTCGGGCGCAGGCAGAAGTACCCGGACGACAGGCATACGTCCACGTCCACGAAACGGCGCGAGATAGTCGCCGGCCCTCGACAAAGATCTCTCTAGCTTATGGTGGGCAAGTTCTGTCTTTACGTTCAGTCCAAGGCAGCGGCCGCGCCACGCGTCGTCGCTCTTGAGCACAGACCAGACCCTCAACAGCGCCTGCGCCTCCGCCTTGCTGGGGACTTGAAAGGCAAAAGGGGTTCGCAAGGGCCGCACTGTGCCGCCCAAAGACATGCGGGGCCACCGTTGGCCCAGGCCCTCGGCCCGCCGGCCCGGCCCTTGACACGGGCGGGGCGGGGGACCGCAAGGACCACCTGCATGCCTCTTTTTATCGCACGTTATCGGAACGGACGCCTCTGCGGAGCCTGGGGGGTCCTTGGCGAACAATGGCGCGGGGCGGGGTTAAGTTGGGGTTGGCGGGCGGGGAGGTTGTAGTGTAGAGCCAGAGCCGCCCGCCCGCCGGTTTTGTCGTATGTAATGGTGCATCACCGGAAATCACTATGGACCAGCAATCCCAAATAACGTCGCACGCAAAGCCGCAGGGCTGGGCGACTTAGCCGTTCAGTATAAAGGACACGCGCTGGGGACGGTTGGGCCACCACTGCACGCACGCACGCACGCACACACACACACAATCACGACACACTCGAGGATTCCTCTCTCTCTTCTTGTTGTTTTCCTTCTTATTTTTACCATCGACGGATGCGGGTACTCTAGTTTCGCGATGGCTGCGCACGCGACTCGCCGGAAAGGTTTCGGCCCGGCCCGGCTCGGCCCGGCTCCGTGTTGACGCTCGGCTCGTCTGCGGCTCGGCTCGGCTCGGCCCGGTGCGCCGAGTGCCGAGTGCTGTGACGGACTGCCACACCACACGTGGGTGGAGCAGTGCTTGGCGGCCCGGGCTGCGCCGCCGGGGCTCCGCGAGAGGGGAGGAGGAGGAGGGAGGGGGCTCTGAGAGAACACGCCGCCGCGCCGGGGACGACGAGCAGGGAAAGACAAACTGCCCGCTCGAGACAGGAGGTTGCAGGCGCCGCGCTGCGCAAGGGCTCCTGCCCGGCCTGCCCGGGCGCAAGCGCCCCAACACCATTGATCTGGACGCAGAGGGGTGGGGGGCTCCGGCCGGGGAGGGGAGGAGCGGAGACTGGGGAGGGAATCCCGTCTGTTGTCCCTGCGCTCCCCCGCACCGAGCACCCAAAGGGCCTGCACTAAAACAGCCAGGGGCTTCCTGCGCCGCCCTGGCCATACCGCTCACCACCTGCTCATCGACACGACAGAGAAACAACGAGATCACCGTCACATCATCATCGCGCAAAAACAAGGAACGTGCTCAGCTGTCCCCGAAGATCGTGAGGAAATGGGAGCGGCAGGGGCGTGTGTGAGCGTCCTGGACGACCCCCCCCCCCGGCCCCTCTTCATCGCGACTCCTTCCTTTCTCACGCTACAATGGTTGGCAGAGCATTATTCGGATTTGCGATTCCGTGATTATGTCGTCTTCGGAGCGCTTCGGAGTCCTTATCCCGCTCCCCCACCGTGACGCCCCGCCCAGCCCGCGCTAGCCTCTGCCTCTCCTCTTGGCTGGCCGCTGGCTGGCCGCTGGCGGGACTGCTGCGGGGCCCCTTATCTTGCCAATGTCACCCGCACCTCTACTACCGCACTACGAACTTCACGCGGATACAATCAGGTCGTCGAAAATAATCACTACACCAGATACAGCTGATTTGCCCCCCCCCCTCCCCCAACCCTCGGAACAGCCTTTCTTCCGCAGTAGTTGGGACTGTACCGCTTGCACGCGTGCAACCTGGTGCCTTCATCGACATAGTACCCGGTCGCGGTATTCGGTAGTGCCTGGCACCTACCTCGGGGATCCCACCGGCCCGTGGCTATACGACCACACGTGGGTGGCTGGAGCGCACGGCATGCGGTGTGAGGTGAGGTGGAGGTGCCAGCAGCATGGCATGCGAGGCGGGCGAGCCGGGCGTCGTGAGAGGGACAGCATCCACCATCCACCCCACGACGGGGTGCTCCCGGCCTCCACCCGCCACGGCGCCAGGGCCTGCCCCAAAGCCGGCGCGTGTCCGGAACAACGCCTTCCGCGGCCAAGGTGAAGGTCGAAAAGTCATGCAAACTACGACCGCCACTGTCTCGTGACCGCCCTGGCCCGCCCCGGCCCGACCCAGGCCCGCCGCCACGCCCAGTGTTGTTCGCTTTGTGACTCGGCTCGTCAATTTCCCATCCGCCTCGGTGGCGCACGCCATGCAGGCCGCGAGCATGCACGCCAGATATGGGCGCGATAACGTGGACCCCACGCCGCCAGCGCCGCCGCGCCCCGGGAGCATCCATTCGTCAGTGCCACTCTGCTGACAGCAAAAAGATTCGCACATCTCCCTGGGAGATCTTCCCCCTGTTTCGCCCCAACTCCTCGTCGTCGATCTCCCTCTTGCTAGCTAAAGGAGCGCAACTTTACTGCCGAGCCAGAATCACAATGCGCCTCCGTGACGGCCGTGACGTCACACGTCACATGGCCGGAAATTGCGTTCTCTCCGTTCGGACGTTTTCTTTCATTTTCCAATTTCTCACGAATCGTCGAATACGCGGGATCACCAAGTCTCCCCCGAGCCGGGTCTTTGATCGCGCTCCGCCGCCGCTGCAAGTTGCGGGCTGTTAATACGCATTTGGCGCCGCTAAAACGAGGCTGTAAATGCAGGGGGTCCCCGCGACAGCTCTCATATGAGCCCCGTACTTGGATTTGGGCAAAATAAGAAAGGATTTAACCGAGGACGTCACATGTTTTTTTTTTTCATACCAGCAAACTTAACTTAGGACGATACATTTAGTTGGAGAAAGTAGAGAGGCTCATCGATGTCACTTTTATTTCAAATCAACAGTATTGATGAATATATTTATTTTGACTCCATGAACCGTTTTATTTTTGTCGAGTACTGCACTGATTGCCTTGGTGGGCACGTGCGCGGGGCGCGCCCATCCGCAGGCCTGCAGCAGCAGGGCGCGCTCAAGTGCAGCAGGCCAGGCCAGGCCAGCCGGGCGGCTTCCGCCGGAACTCGACTTGCAAATGTAAGCACGGCAGCCGCCGGCCGCCGGCCCTCCGCCCGTCGTCGCGCGACTTTACAGTGAGGACGTCGCGAGTAGGGGATCCGTGACGTCAGTCCCGTCACCTGTCCTGTCACGTCACCCGTCACCCGCGAGTGCAACGTGCGGTCTGGCGAGGACTCCTGCCTGGGCCCGTTTTCTCTGCGCCAGGCTCGCGCGCCGTGAGCGTAGGCAACCAGCTCGCACGCCTGCGTGACGGGACAGTCAAGGCGCCAGGCGCTCGTCGGCATCCCCTCTGCGGCCAGCCGGGACACACCGTCACACTTACCAGGTTGCTCGTCTCCTGCTTGCTGCTGCTGTCCGGCCGGCGTCACCTCTAGTCCTACTCCATGGCCTGCTTCGCGGTTCGCGCCGCACCCCGCGCCCACGTCTCGGCGGCTCTCCGGGAGCCCACGCAACGCAAACGCAACCCGCGGACGCCCGCGTGCGAATGCCTACCCCCCGTCGCGCACGTCCCCGTCGAGGAGGCGGCCCGCCCCCCGCGCCCCGCGCCGCCACCGCGACCAACGTAAACAAACAGCGGCGTGGCCCAAACTTTGCACATTACGCGCGGAACTTTGGGCATTAGAAAAATAGGTGTCGGTGGTGTTGCACGCGGGGCACCCGGTCGGTTAGCGGGGAAATCCCAGCCGTACAGCTGACATTGACAGCCCGCGCCCTGTCTGACCTCAGAGCGCTCCCGACACCTCCCGCTATGCATCGGGTTGCCTCCTCTACTCGTTCGTTGCAAACGCCATGGGGACTGGATGGATGGGCCATGGGCCGAATGAGTATCCGTAGTGCACGTAAGCGTGACTTAATTTGATAGCCTGATCAAAAGCTGTTTCAGGTCCGCGTGACGAGCGGGGCATTATGTCCGGCGTCAAGTCGGCCAAAGACAAGCAGGTTTTTGCCTGAATTTGACTATTTTGTTACCAATTTTTACCACGTTGTTGGAGTCAATATGACTCTTCCGTGTTTGATAGGGGGGTTCGCTTTATTTTTCAAAATTTCTGTTCGTGTTGGTTTGAATCCGATCCAAAGCGTGTTTGCACATCTCTCGATAGGGGAAGTCCCCCAGTTCCTCCTTCGACGTCCACACCCTCGCCCCGCCAATTGCGAGACGGATAAACACGATGTCCAGAGGGACGCAGGACGTGGTCATGTGTCTGAAAGTCTGCTTCTCACCCTCGCACAACTTACTCCGGACATTACGTCATCGTCCGTCAGATCGAAGTCAGATCGCGTTGCCCGTGTGGATATCGATACGTTTGGTCGCTGTCAAGGTTATAATGCGACACTCGATCATTCGCCGTCATGCTGGTCGCCGCGTTGTTGGTGGTGCGTCCTTTGCCTTTGCTGGGATCGATTTCTTCGAGCGTGTTGGCATGGTTATGAGAAAAAAATGATCATCACTTGAAATGGTCGGCTCAGTAATCTCGTGGGTGACTTGTAAACTGGGTTGGGCCGGTTCGACCACTCCCCCGCTGCATTCAAAATTTGCGCGGTGATACCTCGTCTCCCACCACGGCCGGAGCGACCGGTGCTGCCATCTAGCGACGTGCAAGGTATACAAGACGAAACTAGAGAGTGCGTCAAAGATCCGCTAGATAGCGTGACCTGCTCCAGCATTCAACAGCCATGCCAACTGCGATACATAAAACACATCTGCTGAAAACATCTGTATGTGGTATATTTTTAGTTTACTAATTGTTTCTTGCTTTGTAATAATTTTAGTATGTGATTTAATGATGAACTCCTGTTAAGCACGAGTAGTGGTGGTGTCATTTGTTATTGTTTACTTTGACGACTTTGGCGACAACTCCGCTCTTCAAGAAAGAAGTACGTAGGAAAAAGAAAACAGTCCTTTTGCACAAGTGTTTACGTTGTCCGAGCACGTGGATTTTGTTAATTGTAAGTTAATTTATATTTGAAGTGGTTTAATAGCTATGGCAAGGGCACACTTTGTTTATCCGACGTAGCACTTATTCCCATTTATATTGTTATCTCGAGTTTTCTTGTGCGTAACGAGTTACTTGTTATTGATAACCATACTAACCTCTCCAATATTTCTGCGTAGTTCTATGTATGGCTCTTTACTTTTCCTTTAATCTTTAATTTCTACTAACATCCAACCTAGACATAATTAATATATGTACAATTATTTATTTCCTTATCTAATTTGTGTTTAACTCAGTTTTCTGGTGTGTCTGAGAGCGGGTGTGTGATTATGCAAACAGAAGTTGGATGATTTCACTCAATCCTTATGACACACGGGTATGTGTTAATCCTTGTATCATAATAACACTAACTTCTTTTTCAGCTTCTACCTAGTGCAGTCGCTCAGCCTTCAAGATGGGTAAAAGTATACGCAGCAAGCGCATGAGGCGCAACAGAAATGTCAAAAGAGCTAAAACTTACAATCCAAGAATCGAAGCAAAACTCAAAGCAGCCCTTGCTTTTGAGTACAATGAACAGACAGAAAAGGCTCATCTTTCTATGTTTCATGATAGTGGGTACCTTATTATTATTTTGTTGTGCCCTAGGTAAAGAGATTAACATTGATAAATGTCATTTTTTTCTTCTTCTACAGTCATGAATGGTCCACCCCCAGCTGTACCAGGATTGGAGCCTGGCAGTAAATTAGAAAGAGCTCATCTTACTGAAGGCCATGTGTCTGTAGAGAGAATAAGCAACTTCAACGTTGGGAAAATGAACAGGCTTTGGGAGGCAGCCACCCGAGCTGTAACAAAAGGAGCTCGTCAAATCCCTGATCCCCCATCAGACCCCGAAGATGAAACAGAAATGGATGATAAGGAACCAAGGGTGTATGATCCTAAAACAATGAAGGATCAGTATGGAAACTATCCTCCATGGATGAACAAGAAAAAGGTCAAGGCAAAGTCTCATGCTGCCAAAGTTCAGAAGGCTAAGGATAGACGAGTAGCAAAGAGGAGGGCAGGCAAGGTTCTTCGCAAAGACACTGATGGGCAAGGAAGCAAGAAAGTCTCAAATAAGAAGAATGAGAGTGATGGTGATGAGAGTGATATGGAAGTAAATTTCTATAAGTAAACAATTTAATGAATTTATTGTAAGATCACATGTGGGATGGGTGTCATAAATCCAGTATTGTTTACTGGTACTCTGACGAGGACTAGTTGTTCAGTGATAAAAAAGAAATCAAATTTTGGG